TGACTGCTCTTTGGATTGGAGAGGGAGGGGGAGAGGAGTGGGGGGAGGGGGAGAAGAGTAGGGGGAGGGGGAGGGAAATGGGAGGCTGGGAGGAGGCGGAAACTTTTTTTTTCCTATTCTCAATAAAAAAAATATTTACAGATAAGCAAGCAATAAGACAAATTCAGATGAAAAAGACTTCTAAATGCGTCACAATGTTGGATAAATGTATGTAGGTTTAAGAGAGAGAGGAAAAAGAATATAGACAGGTATAAAGAGTACAGACAGTCATAGATTAAAGGAGTAAAGATAATAAACATTAAACTTGTAGAAAAAGTAATGGAGTAAGAAGAATAAGCCACATAAAGGTGAAAAATACACAGAGAGTCTGGGTTATGTGTATTATTATGTTTTCCTTGAATTTTTGACTGTGAATGAGCTAAGTACAGAGAGACATTTCATTGTATGGACTGCTAAGCTAAATCAACATATATACTTTAAAGGTATCTTGACTTCAAAATTTGGGCCTAAGGAATATTGCTTTGGAAAAGAGGTTCTGCTTTTGTTTCCACAGAGGATGAGAACCTGTGGATTCCTTCCAGACTAATGTGGTTTGAAGGACCAAAACCCTCTGAAAGGTCTCCACAAACCCTAAAATTACTTCACCCAACAAAAAGCAAGAAGTGGTTTAGAGAGAACTACAGCCAAATGCCCAAATATTGTTCATAAATGTTTGTTTACATTTAAAGGGATATGATGGGCTGGAGAGATGGCTCAGTGGTTAAGAGCATTGCCTGCTCTTCCAAAGGTCCTGAGTTCAATTCCCGGCAACCACATGGTGGCTCACAACCATCTGTAAAGAGGTCTGGTGCCCTCTTCTGGCCTGCAGGCATACACACAGACAGAATATTGTATACATAAAAAATAAATAAAATAAATATTAAAAAAAGGGGATATGATATAGAGATGAATACTTTGCATTGGTATGGATCTTGGTTTATTGATACCAATTTAAGGTCTATTTTTTATATTTCTGCTCTTGATTATGGTATTGTTTTTGTGTTGGTCATTTAAAAATGTAATGTATAATTAAGAAACATAGGTTAATAGAGAGTCATCTATAATAGTCAAGCTTGTAGTTAGTTAGGTTTTCAGATGGATAGTTATTCTTCAAACTTTTCAAAGACTAACAGAATATGGCATTTAAAATGTTTTAAGTACTTAAGACTTTTCATGACAATGAGACACTTCTGCTCTTGGCAGCACCAAGCTACTTCAAGAGGATGATGGGCATCAAAGAGGCTCCTTATGGAGTTGGTTAGCCATTTGGGCAAGAAACTGCTCTTACCTAGACTGCTTGATGTTATACTGTATGAACTGGACATGCAGGACTCACAGAGAAATAACTGCTGAACTTGCCTAAAGTGAGACAGTCCTTTGGATGTCCTGTTTCGTGAAAGAGTCTGCCAGACATTCTGTAGGATACAGAAAAAAGTGACTGACAAACTGCCAATATAAGTGGAACTGTCTTTGAAATCTCCTGCTTCATGGAAAGGTCTGCCAGATAATAAGGGCCAGTAAGCCGAAGATGAGTCCCCCAATGTTACAGAAGAACTTTGGGTGACTGTCCAGGCAGTGAGAAGTCTCTGTCAATTCTAGAGTTTTGGAAGTTGCTTACAATGCACTTCTTGTTAACTTAGGTAATGTTATATCCTTCTGGGGTCTTTGATGGAGTTGAAGAATAGTTATAATTATAGTTTTCCTTAGTTATGGTAAAAGATAAAGTAGATATAAACATTGTAACTGTAATTCTTGTGTGATACCTGTTTGTTATATGTAATCTTTCTAAGTTAACGTTAAAACCTTCCTTTATAATTAGAAAAGGGGAGGCAACGTGGGATTACCCTTTGTATGCAGTGAATATGTTTTATTGCCATTGGTTAATAAAGAAGCTGTTTTAGCCAGTGACTTAGCAGAATAGATCAGTAGGAAAATTAAACTGAATGCTAGGAGAAAGTAGGTGGAGTCAAAGAGGTCATGTAGCTGCCAGCTGGAACCTGCTGGTAAGTCACAAACCTTGTGGTAAAATATAAAAATAATAGAAATGGGTTAATTTAAGATGTAAGAACTAGCTAGAAATATGCTTAAGCTATTGGCCAAACAATATTGCAAATAATATAGTTTCTGTGTGATTATTTTGGGTCTGGGAGGCTAAAAACGAATGAGCAGCCTTTGCCTACATCAACTGAGCAAAATGGATTGATATTTTTAAGGCAGATTTGCCAACAAAGAATAAAATGTCTTTCCAAATTGTAGTTTTCTCTTTAACTGTATTTTAAATGTTTAGGATTTTCTTTGGAGATATATTTTGAATAAATTGGCACGCATACAACCTCATGTTATAAAGCTGGAGATTTCCTGTATTGCAGGGTAATTTATACATTGTCTTTCAGTGCCTTTCATTAAGACCAGTTTTCTTACTTTGAAGTCTGAGTAGAAAGAACTAACTATATTTTCTTTGAACATATATATTGTCCTAGATAACCCACTGTGTTAGAAAATATGGAAGAAATATGTCTGTGGATAAATGTAGTTTTGTAAAAAGCCTATGCTGGAATTATATAAATGTTGGTTTATGAATCTGCACAGACTAGACTATTACTACTTAACTCAAGTTTAATAATTCATAAAACAAATAGTTTGGGGTCTCAAGTCTCAGTTTATACTTTTCATTATATTTATGTGCTAATGCCTTTAGAATACAATCTTACAATTAGATTTGGAGTTAAACCTTTAGAATTTCCCTGTATCTGTTTATGGTAGAGCTATGTACATACATAGCTATGTACATATAGGATTCACTAAATATGAAACAGTT